GGAGACAAAATCGAAGAAGGGTTTTTTACACCCTTCAATATGTACGTCTTAATCTTGGGTGGTTACACACTAGTCGTTGTCATAATTTGAAACTTTTACTTTCAGATTTCGCTTCCTCGTCGATTGATGATAACAATAACATTTTTTGGAATCATTTAACACATCTATTGTTTGTTTGCCTCTACTATAGAAAATTGTGTAGTTTTTAGAGAGATTGTGAATGGTATTACAGTTAAACCATTATCACAAACTCGTTTCAAGAGCCACATCCTCAGATACGGGATGTATTGTTTTATTTAGCAGAAAATAATGACAGTTTCAAAATAAGAAGGGACGTTTAGTCTCTTGCAATGATTAAATCCATAGAATTAGACGTTTTGAGTTTTTTTTTTGAATGATTATTTGGTATAACTTATATTTGTTGTGAACATAATAAGCAAGATCCTCTAGTCATAAGATAAAAATAACGATATTGTTATTCCTCAAATAGAAGGACTAGTTTCTTTTTTGTACAAACTATAGAGATAGAAGTTTAAAGCAGCGAAAGTAGATACTGAACGGATTGATATTGAGATAAAAATTGATCATGTATTCTTTGTAAAAGCATAACAAAGAATTGTAAAAGGAAACAATATCATGATGAAGAGTCTGAAAAAGTGGGGTAGATGTGAAATTAACTACGAAAGAAAATTTCAGAATCAACTACTTAATCAAAATTGTGGATCAATGTTTAGTTTCTCTTGAAACTAGGTTTGATCAACCTTTCAAGTTATGAAAAGACTTTTGGCTTTTGTTTGACCTGAAGAAGCTCAAGTTCGCAAACGATGACAAATTTGTGGCTTCTTGCACCAACCATGAAACTTTTTAAACATGATAATCATTATGATATTGATAGCAGTAATCTATTTTTGGAGTTAAAGCTTTTCAGAAGAGTTTTACTAAACAAATTAGAAAGGTAGTCTGAAATATTGAATTATATGAAAAAGATAGAAGGTTGATATCCAAATACATGGATTGCATATCGCATATGATGATGATTTCAGTTTCAGTTGGTTCTGTAGAAAGAAGTTTTTCAAAGTTAAATTTCATGAAGTCTTATCTACAATTGACTATACCACATGAAGGATTGAATGAATTGTTGATATTGTCGATTGAGAATGTGAGAACTGAGAACAAAGACAAAAATGTGAATGAGAATGAGGATGAGGATGAAGAAAAGAAAGCATTTGATATGAATGAATATCGAATAGACAGAGAAATCAATGATCATGAACACTAAGAGAAACTTGAGAAATTTTCTAGTTGAAAATGACCAAGTGACAAGGTTTTAGTTTGTTTATCATTTTTCAAGAGGTTTTAGAAACATGAAGAAGAGTCACTCAGTGGATGGATTTATGAGTGAGGCTATAGACGAATCAGGTAATAGATAAGCATATTCAAAACGAAACTAACAAATAGAAACCATTAGAGAGATGTATTGTTGCACTAAAAAATGGTCTTGGTAAAAAGAATATAGCATTCATGAAGATAGTAGTGAAATTTTTTTCGGTATGATTGAAATATTTGTAAATTTTGATCCAGTGATGAAAGAACACATTAGATGTTGATCCTCACCAAAGATTGAAGATTTTTTGTCATTCATCAAAATCGGAGACAAAATCGAAGAAGGGTTTTTTACACCCTTCAGTATGTACGTCTTAATCTTGGGTTGTTACACACTATGTCGTAGTCATAATTTGAAACTTTTACTTTCAGATTTCGCTTCCTCGTCGACTAATGATAACAATAACATTTTTTGGAATCATTTAACACATCTATTGTTTGTTTGCCTCTACTATAGAAAATTGTGAAGTTTTTAGAGAGATTCTGAATGGTATTACAGTTAAACCATTATCACAAACTCGTTTCAAAAGCCACATCAAAAACATCAAAGCCATACGATTTTAAGCTTCTCAGATACATGAGGTTTTGTTTTATTTAGCAGAAAATAATGATAGTTTGAAAATAAGAAGGGACGTTTAGTCTCTTGCAATGATTAAATCCATAGAATTAGATGTTTTGAGTTTTTTTTTGAATGATTATTTGGTATAAGTTATATTTGTTGTGAACATAATAAGCAAGGTCTTCTATTCATAAGATAAATATATCAATATTGTTATTCCTCAAATAGAAGGACTAGTTTCTTTTTTGTACAAACTATAGGGATAGAAGTTTAAAGCAGCGAAAGTAGATACTGAACGGATTGATATTGAGATAAAAATTGATCATGTATTCTTTGTGAAAGCATAACGTCTTTGTAAAAGGAAACAATATCATGATGAATAGTCTGAAAAAGTGGGGTAGATGTGAAATTAACTACGAAAGAAAATTTTAGAATCAACTACTTAGTCAAAATTGTGGATCAATGTTTGGTTTCTCTTGAAACTAGGTTTGATCAATCTTTCAAGTTATGAAAAGACTTTTGGCTTTTGTTTGACCTGAAGAAGCTTAAGTTAGCAAACGATGACAAATTTGTGGCTTCTTGTACCAACCATGAAATTTTTTAAACATGGTAATCATTATGATATTGATAGCAGTAATCTATTTTTGGAGTTAAAGCTTTTCAGAAGAGTTTTACTAAACAAATTAAGAAGGTAGTCTGAAATATTGAATTATATGAAAAAGATAGAAGGTTGATATCCAAATACATGGATTGCATATCTCATATGATGATGATTTCAGTTTCAGTTGGTTCTGTAGAAATTTGTTTTTCAAAGTTAAATTTCATGAAGTCTTATCTACAGTTGACTATACCACATGAAGGATTGAATGAATTATTGATATTGTCAATTGAAAGGAGCATATCTTGATGATACAAGCTTGATGGATGAACTTGCATGTAGAAATGCAAGGATAACTATATTTTAAGATAATAAACAGATTTCTTGTGTTTTAAAACATTTTATAGTTTTTGTTTACCACATTCATGATTTTTTTTTAAGTTCAAAAAAATTACTACAAAAATGTATAAAATGACCTATTTTTTCTCTAGTATGCAATCCTCTAGAACCTAGTATCGACTCTGAATGTCTCAGCCTAATCAATTAAATTATTCAGGAGATAGTATCTCAGCCTAGACCATATTTAATTCATTTGATTTTGAATGATTTTTGTGGATGACTATATGCCATTTATGAAAGAAGAGGAATGAACAAATACACCATATGGCATACCACTCACTGAAATTAGTGAGGTTTTTCGGGAGACATAATGTCTCAGCTTTGACCATATTTAGTTCGTTTAATTTTGAGTGATTTATCAGTTGACAATATATCATATATAAAAGAAGAAGAATGAACAAATACACCATATGGCTTTGTTTTTGGGATGTTTACTTTTTCCTCCGTCTTTACTTCCCTAGTTTGACGTTTAAGTCAAATTCTATTTTCTCTTTCTCCAAATTAATGTTCATCATTATAATCATATCATATATACGAGAATCTTTTAACGTGTGTGCGGCATATATGATTTTTATAACTCATTAGATTGTGATATTTGTCACGATTAATTATCTTGCCATACGTTAATAATAATATAATAATTTAAATGATCCTTCAAGGATCTTCACTCTCTCTGTGATTTTCACATATATATATATATATATCACTATCAAGTGATCCATATAAATATGCACTCACAACATCTATAAAGTATATATGTAGATTTCTAGATGTCGTTAGGTTCATAAAGTACCTGAATGTGATTGCATCCATGACCGGAGAATATGTTTCTTCATAATCTATTCCCAGTATATAAGAAAAATCTTGTGCCACAAGTCAGGCTTTATATTTTGTGACTTCGTTTTTCTCATTTCTCTTTCTCACAAATATCCATTTGCACCCAACTGGTATTACATCTTCAGGTGTAATGACTATTGATCCAAAGATATTTCTTTTATTCAGAGGGAATAATTTATTTCTCATAGCCATTTGCCATTTCCTCCATTCAGGTTTTTTATGGCACTCTGACACGGACCTAGGGTCTGGATCATCATTTTCATTATTAATTTCTTCAGATACCAAAAAAAATATTTTATATGTAACATCTATCTTACTTCTAGCCCATAATTTCCTAGTTTGGGCAAAGTTGTTTTGGAAATCTCATATTTTTCAGTATTATGTTCATCTTCTGGACGAACTTCTTTATTTGGTTCTTCAGGAACCCTCTCATATATGTTTTTTGGACATATATCTCTATGTGGTTCTTCTGGAACCTTTTCACAAATGTCTTCTGGACATTTTTTTTATTTGGTTCTTCTAGAACATTGTCTCCCAAATTCTTTCTCTTTTCGGGATTCTTATCTTTCGACCTCATCGACCTCCCGCGCTTTGATTGAACATGCGGTTCATTTGCTTTATTTTCATCAATAGCTTGTTCCAGAACATTTAATTTTGATGGAGCATTAACAGCCTGGATATATGACTTCGTCACCCTTTTTGTATTTGTGAATGCATCAGATAATTGGTTTGCCAAAATTTGCAAATGTATAATTTTCTGAACTTCTACCTCACATTGATGGGTGGAAGATCAAGATAAACCAAACTTTGTGTACACCATATGATATCTTTTGATGATTCTCTCAATCCTCCCCCTAACGCAGGAAATTCATTTTCATCAAAGTGGCAATCGGCAAAACGTGCCGTAAACATATCTCCAGTTACTGGTTCAAGATATCTGATTACACTTAGTGATGTATAGCCAATATATATTCTCAATCTCCTTTGCGGTCCTATTTTTTTCTTTGTGGAGGGGCTATTAGAACATAAACCGCACATCCAAAAACACGGAGATGGGATATATTTTGCTATTTGTCGAGGTCAACTGTATTGGGGAATACTCATTATATGCACTTAGTTTCATCTAGACCAATGCTCCAGCATGCAATATGGCATGTCTTGAGACAATAATTGGGAGCTTTGTTCAAAATATTAATGGTCGTGCAATCAACTGCAACCGTTTAATCAAAGATTCAGCATGTCATTTTGTGTATGAACATGCGGAATCGGATGCTCATCATCGATTCCTAATGACATACAATAGTCATTAAAGGGCGTTGAAGTGAATTCACCAGTGTTGTCAAGCCTGACTTTCTTTATGGCATAATCATCGAATTCTGCTCTCAACCTGATTATTTGGGCAATGAATCTTATGAAATCCATATTTCTTGTGGTCAATAGACACATATATGACCATCTACTGAATGCGTCAATTGATATCATAAAATATCTAAATAGTCCGCACGGTGGGTGAATTGGTCCACATATATCACCATGTATTCTTTCAAAGAATACAGAATATTCATTCCCAAATTTGGCTGGCGAGGGCCTGATTATGAGATTTCCTTGTGAACATGCCATACTGAAAACTCTCCCGATTGAAAAATCTTCTAATTTGAAAGAATACAGAATATTCATTCCCAAATCGTGTCAACCCACTCAGTAAGCTTCGTAATTTGTAGGAAGAATTGATTGTTCACAGTATGACCAGTGACAATGCAAAAGTCGCTGTAATGAGAGCAATTGGTAATTGATAACAATGAAAGTTTAAGGATAAATTGCTTTGCATACAATATAACTTACATGTTTCTTTCACACGATAATAACTCCTGGAATGCCTTGAACTGGTCTTGTTCCACTGTTTCGAGTGGTTTGTACGCAGCTTTCGATCTGGATACAAATAGAGCTTTCACCTTTGAATCTGCGGTGTAAATATCTCGAAACTTTTCCGACCGTATGCGTGCGCGTTTTCCTCTACCTCTTCCTCCTCTTCCTGTTCCTCTACCTCTTCCTCCTCTTCCTGTTCCTCTACCTCTTCCTCCTCTTCCTGTTCCTCTACTTTTTCTCTTTACACCAGACGATCCCTCCACTTCTTGTGGGGGTTTTGGAGTACAAGGGGTCTTCTGCGAAGCATCACTTGCATCCTTAGGTGCAGTATGGTAATCTTTCCCCGCATTTGAGTCCTCCTCCTTAGCCACAGCCTACAAACCACCGTAACAATAAAGCGTATAACATATCAATCGTATACCTAGCGTATACCTAAAGAGTACTGTATACACATGCATATTATATGAACAAATTTAATGTCTGACCTGTGCATCCTGTGTATCTGTTTGCGCTTCATTTTTCTTATATGCGTAGCTCAATGGGTGAGCAGTCTGAGGTTTGTAGACTAATAAGGTGCCGGAAACCAAATTTGTTCAACCACCATCCACCTGAATAAGTCATAAAAAAATAGCATAGTACACACCCGTTATGAAACTTAATAGAGTCAGCTGCTGACTAAACAATTAGCTCACCTTGTTGAGGTCAGAAGGTGGATCTTCATCCGGATTGACGAAGTAAGGAGGTGGACGAGTTGTTCCTGAATTGGCTTGTTCAGGTTCAGGGGTCTTCGTCGGAGCTTCTAGAGTCTTCAAGTACGCATGGTCCCTGGGAGAATAATGGTCCCCGCCGTAGTAAGTAGAGGTCCCTTCTTCATCATCTCTTTCTTTCTGGTGTACACCATCTTGGGGGTGTACACCATCATCATGGCGTACGCTAGACTGTGCACCATCATCACCTCCTTCTTCACCTCCATCTTCGGCTTTGTCTTCATCTTCATCCTGTTTTTGACCACCTTTTTTTGGATTCTGTCATTCGTCATCCTGTTCCCCATCGTCTTTTGACTGGTGTACATCGTCATCTTCTTCAACCTGTTGGTATACACCCAATCTCTTGTCCAACTCTGTCTTAATCTTACGAAGGAGCAATTCATTCTGACTTAGTATCCATCTTTTAAGATCTTCAATTTGTCCACTTTCAGGGGTTTCATCTTCCGATAGATTAGAAGAGTTCTTGCCCCTGCCTCTTTTCCTCTGCATCTTACGTTTTTCAGTTTGATGAGTTTTCAGTTTCTTCTTCGGTCGGGTGGATGGCTCAGGTTCCTGTTCTATTGCTAACCTCGTCCTCTGCATCACTAAGATCTACGATAGGTGCTGGTGCCACTGCAAAATCCGAAGGTGTGAATTTGTACCCCTCGGCCATGAGTTCCTGCATGAAATCTCCCCAACGCAATTCATTATGTTCGTCATTGTCAGCATCATCCACTACCATCTGTTTCACAGACAACTAAGACAAAAAAACAATTGCAAAATTACCAACCAAAATCACAGAGTACTTATCTTATAATACAAGTACTACAAAATAAGACTACAAATAGTACTAAATATAATACTACAAATAATTTACCAGAGGGTCGGATTCCACGGCAAGTATGTCCCCAAGATGCAATAGTGTGATAACGTTTTGACAACCTTCGGGATCTTCAACGAAAGTCTTCAAGTTATCAGGTTGAGGAATCTTGGAAACCAACATTGGTATAGATTGGAGGGCCATGAGTTGTAGTGATAGAGGGAATCCATAGCATGCACTGATTTTCTGTTTAAGTTGACGACGCAATCGTGTTAAAAGATTCTCCCTTTTCTCGGCATCCGTGATTGTCTTCGGAGCTTGAAAACGAGATACTGTTTTGTTAAAGGATACCCTCCCCCATGGATACAGCATGAACCTATCCAAGTCACTCAGCATCTCAACGTATTTCTCGGTGAGGGCCAGATTTTTGCTATTGCAAAACAGAACACCGTCGACAAGAACGATTAAGGCCAATGGAAGCCGTTTCCATTGGGGTAGATCCGGGTCCTTTAGCATTTCAAGCACATCAAACACGTTCATAGCGGTCGTTATTCCGAACAGGTCTTTCCAGATTCTTGTCTTTCCGACATCTTCTTCTTCTGTGTTATCAGGTTCAGGATTGCAATTCAATCCAGTGATTTCCTTAAACTCCCGTATCGAATATCTCAGAGGCTGTCCACCAAAGAGGAACCAAATCTCGTGTTTCTTCGTGGTCACAAGTTGTCGTGATAGAAGGGCATGGACTAGTTTGGCGCTGTTGCAAGATGTTGCAACAAGTAGATGAAATAACTTCCCAAACTGGGAATGAAGTAGCTTCTCAAGATCTTCAGTACCCTTTAACGCCTCGACAAGGAGGCCAATGACATTGGCCTTTGAATATATGTTCAACCGAGCACCAACGGGGTAGCAACCATCGCCGAGGACCCTTTTTGGTAGTTTTTCCGAAAGGTTAATTGAAGCTTCTCCATCTTCCATGCCTGTATTTGAAGCTTCTCCGTCTTCCATTCCTGTATTTGAACCAAAACAACAAATCCAAAATGCAGGAAAAATATAATATTCTGGATAAACAGTTAAATGCAAACCAGGGGAAAATTTTGAGGGAAAGGAGTTCGAAGGAGTTCAAAAGAGAGAACAGAGATCTGGAAAAACTACCCTATTCGTATGCTCTCATATATAAACTTCTGTAACTGTTTCTAGATGATATAAGAGTAATCCAACCGTTTGAATTCAATATATAGACATAAGTACTAGAGTTCATAACCGCTAATACATAAATCAGGCCAATCAGGCGCCCCGTTTCAATCTTAATTTGAGTTACAAACCGCCAGTACAGTTCAGACAGGGTCGAAGTTCATAAAAGTAACTTGCTTTTAAAATTTTGAGCAGGCCATTCTAGAAGAAGAGGAGCGAATTATACTTTGGAGCTACACCGCCGGCGTGGATTGAGACGACTCGCATGAATGGGATGTTCAACCCGCTCACTCCGTCGCGGTGGCATGGGCGGTATGGGCGACTGCTCCGTCGGAGCTGTCTTCGAGTTACTCCGAAGCACTCGCCTCGACACCGGAGGCACGGTGTTGTTGCGCCTTAACAATTTTTTTACTCTCCGCACCATTACAACGGTCAATCGGAGGGCTAATCGGAGATGGATTGCCGGAGATGCTAGATGGACTACATCCAGATGTGGATCCCAAATTTTATTTTTAATTTAAATGTTGGGGTGTCGATAGATTATACATTTGGTTTTACTTCGGTTTACGATATTGGACTTTGGTTTATAATTTTGTGTAATCGGTTTACCAAATCAGATTTTACCAGAAATTTTTAGTTATTTTACTTCGATAATGGCAATTTTGAAAATAAAAAATTGCTTTAGGGCCCTTGCGGGAAGACAAACAGTAAAAACAGCTATATCCTTCCTTGGTTTTGAAAACATCCTATTCCTCTAATTTAAAACTTAAAAACTACCCATACAACAATTTTCTCTTTGTTTTTAGGTTTAGGGAGATAGAGATCTATCTTTTGAACCCTTTTTATTTCTCTTTCAATACTGATTTCCTTACACGTTTTCTATACAATGATTTTGCCTTCTTTAATCATGTCTGAGTAGTTTACTTGTTGGGTTTAAGGGAATTTTTGATTGGGATCTATATGTTCTATGAGGATTGTATGAGCTATTAAGCCGAATCCTATAACTTTTTCTTCTAAACTTATTTTTAATACATGAAAGTAGCGTCATGAATTATAATCTGATTTAAGTACTGAGTGTTGCGAGAGTTTTTATTATCTGCCTGATATAGTTTGAGAAGAGAAATTCTGCCATAGGAGATGAAAGCTACCTATGGGTGAGTTTTGAATGTAGACGAGTCTTGTATAAGCTATTGCGTGCACCTGTTACCGGGACCAGAGACGAAAGCTACTGGTCAGGGTCGTGGGTGGCAGTTGGTTATGATCACGAGAGTAAAATAATCATACATCTGTGCTCGAGTTCTAAAAGTTTTAGCTATGATATTTCTATTTACTTTTTAGCATGTTTTGAATCGATTATACCACAGAGATATTTCCAAACAAACCAGCGTTTTTTTTATAAGTTCTTACATTGATTTTCTCTTTATTTACCTTAGGTTTTTTTTTTTAGTTTTTTAATCGATTTTCTTAAGCACTTTTTCCTTTTCTCGTTTAATTTAGGATTTACCTTTTTTTAGTAACATCAAAACCCGTATAAAAATCAATTATGTTTAGACTTCCTTATTCAATCTTTTTCAAAAAAATTTTGCAGAAAATATCCTCATTCCATATAGATTCAATTCCTAAATACTACAATTGATTAATTGTGCACTTGCGGATTTCATTTGTTTCTATCTAGGTTAAAATTTGCTCACATCCCACAGATCACATCACCGAACCGAGATCCGAACACATATCTGAAATATCTCAAAAATTTTAAAACCCATTTATTCTTATATAAAAATATCTCTGTTGTTCTTCAATTTTTTTCTTATTGTCGACATAAATATTTAAGAAGTCTAAATAAAAAATTTTGAATCCCTAAATCAATAAAACATGTGAACTTGATAGAAGTGTTTTGGCTGATTTTGGTTTTCTTGAAATAAAATTTTCTTGTTTATTGTTTTCTTCTTTGATTTTCAGGTTTTTTGGATATTGTGAATACATTTAGATATTTTAGATCCAGATCCAAACTATATTCAAAAAAGATAATTTTTTAATGTTTAAGGAGATGTGAAGAGTAAAGAAATGTTTATTTTTTTCTCTGTCTATTGATTCGAATATCTGAATCGTTCTAAAAATCTTGGCTGTCGACTAAAAACCTTTTAGAAATTCTAAAACGTCAAAAGAAAAAATAGATTTTAATTTTAAAATTTTAAATACCATCCAGCAAAATATTATTACTGTAAAAGAATTCTAGAAACAGTTATTTTCAAAAGGTATTTCTTTAAACGAAAAGCTAATTTTTTCCCTTAAAAAAAGATACAACTTTTTGGAGTTTTTCCCAGTCGAAAGTGTGATGAAGCTGTGGAAAACGACGAAGACGAACGCGAAAGCCACAAACTCAGCCCATTCCCACCGTTCAAACTCACACTCACACACACACTCTCACAACAATCTCTCTTCACAAATCCCAAAACATTTCGAAAATGCTCCTTCCCAAAACCCTAACGCTTCTCGTCTCCTCCGTCGCGATTCTAACCATCGCCGGCGGTTTCCATAGCGCCGTCGCGTTCGGCGGAAACGGAGGAGGTAACACAAACAATGTCTACTCTCCTTGCTCCGACACGAGGATCCAGAGATCTGACGGATTCACATTCGGAATCGCCTTCTCTTCGCGTCCGTCTTTCTTCCTCAACCAGACGGTTCTCTCTCCCTGCGACCGTCGACTTAGCCTCGCCGCCATGAACTCTCAGCTCTCTGTCTTCCGTCCAAAGATCGACGAGATCTCACTACTCTCTATCAACACCTCCGCTTTCTTCCCGGTAAATTTGATTTCCGAAAATGTTCAAAAACAAAAGTCTGATTTCGGTCAAATCTGGTCATTTTTTTATTTGCTAATTAAACTAATTTTGGATTAGATTAATCAAATTATGAAATATCTATTGAAAAACTCTTCAGAGTTTTCGATTTGGTTGACTTTGGCTTCTTGACTCTGACTACACTCACTACACTAATTAGATTGCTTCATGTAGATAAGTATCAGATTGAATTGATAAGAATCAGATTTGTTTGTTTTTTCTGGGATCAAAAGTTAGTCATGAATCTTTCTAATTTAGGTAAGAAAACTAACAGTTACAATCTTAAATCATTACGAAAATGGAATTGACTAGTACTATACATTACTTGAAGTGGTTAGTGAAATCCAAAGTTAGATTATCCAATTCTGAGTAGGAGGAATATATGAGTGGATTTGATTGACTTTGGCTTCTTGAATATTCCATTTTGTTGACCTTACCTGACTACACTAGTAACTAGATTGCTTCATGTCTAGTAATGATAATTCTTTAGTGTAAATATCAGGTTGAATAGAAAAGTGTCATCACATTTGGTTTTATATGTCCACAAATTTATCGTTAGGTGAGAAAATTACAGGGTCAATGTTAAATTATAATGCAAATGAGCTTACAAGTACTACTTGAATTGATTAGTGATGTCCAAAGTTCATTTTTCCGAGTAAGATTGATGAAGAAAACCAGAATCTTATAATCCGTTCAGAGTGTAGATAAGGAAAATGCATATATATATATATATATATATATATATATATGAGTTGATTTTGGCTTATTCAAGAGTGAAAGTTGACATTACACGAATACACTAATTAGATTGCTTCACGTATATTAATGATAATTCTGCAGTTTAAAATATCAGTTTTGTATAGATAAGTACCAGATTTGGTTTTATGTGAATCACAAATCAAACGATGATCATAGTATACTTGAATTGGTTATTGATGTCCAAAGTTTGATTTTTTAATACAGATTAGTGAAGAAAAATCAGAACGTTTCTTTATGTGACCATGCTAAATATGTTGCATAATCTATTCAGGACAACTATGGTGGATATATGGTTGCATTTGCTGGTCGGAAATACGCGGCGAGGTCTCCTCCGGCTTTTATAGCTAACACAACCTTCACCGTAACCAGTTTTACTTTGGTAATAAAGTCTTTTAAAAGAATCTGATCATGTAGAATTCACTCAAGAGCTATAATTTATGTGTGATGTTACGTTTTAAAAGGTGATGGAGTTTCAGAAAGGTAGGCTTCAGAACCTATACTGGAAGAGAGATGGGTGTGCGTCGTGCAAAGGGAATTCAAACTTTGTGTGTCTCAACAAGCAAGATTGTGCTATCAGAACGCCGAGCTGCAAAGGCCGTGGAGGTACAGTGGACTGTAGTCTCGGTATCCAGCTGGCGTTTTCCGGCACCGATAAACACTTGGCGGTTCTCAACTCGTGGTATGAAGTCGAGAACCTTAAGCAGTATTCTCTTTACGGTCTTTATTCAAACCTCAAGAGCTCGCTTACCAGTCAGTTCAACAATTTCTTCTGAAGCTTTTTCACAGTCTTGAAGAGGTTTAGTGTTTGTTTTGTAGCATGTAGTAGGTAACTTTCTTTTGGTGACTTATCTAATTAGTTCATGGAATGTAAGACCAAATTCGCAGAAATGGTTATGGTAGGAACCGGAATTTGAACCGGAACGTCTCTATTCCGGAATCTAACACCAAATCTGGTTTGTTTTAACTTATTTTATAACTGCTCAACTTTGATTTTGACATCTGTCACTTAAATATTAATTAATAAATTTTAAATCACTTAAAGAATATAAAAAATTTGTTTTATTAATTAATACTAGTATTTATATTAATGTTAAAAAAAATTTTATGTTATCCTATATATTAAATGAGAATGTAGTTTAATGAAAAAATCTGATTTATTTTAATTTGATTGGCTTAAAAAAGCTTCCTTGCTTATGTCAATGATAACGTTTATTTCACGTCAAATGTGACATGGCAAAGACGCGCTGATGTACAAAATTCTGATTGGTTTCAGTTTAATGAGAAAAAAATAATAA